TATATATATATATATATATATATATATATATATATATATATATATATATGCCAGCTTTTCCAATTATTAATTATAGAAAATGTCTACTAAAAAGAGAGTGAGAGAGACAGACACAGAGAAAAGGAGAGAGAAAGAGCGCGCACATTATGTTACATAATCAATTTTAAGTACTTTTGCATAAAATACATATATTGCAAATCCTGATCATAATATGTATTAGATATGCATGCGTAAGATACGTATGAAGAAATGATGTTAAAATATGCTCACCACAAGAGTGAGGTAGACCAGTGGTCAAGATCTTTCTTATTCACGAATAGCTTGTAGTAACGGGCAGTATATCATAAACGTTGCAGCGAGACGTTACGTAAAGATTTGATTCAGCGAAACGCGTTTATTAGAAAGCAAAATTGTCACTAGTCGAATAAACTCATTCGCACTGTTATCATATAATTTGACAAACAGTGTAAATTCTATTAAGAATTTAATAAATAAATAGAGGCAATAAATGAGATAGATTAGTAGTGTGTTTATAAAGTGAGAGAGAAACTACAACCATATAGAAAATACAACCATTAAGTGTGATGTCTCTCATAAAGTGTATTACTCTCGAAGAAGAACTAATAAAAAATCCAGAACTTAAGTTGTCAGATATACAAATTCTAAGGGATTGGTGTGAGAAACAACTGCATCTGCCGAAAATCCAGGACGTGGAGCTCGCCATATTTCTACACAGTAATTATTATCGTATAGAGCCGACGAAGAGCACAATCGAGAATTACTACACTTATAGAACTCACATACCGGAACTATTCTCCAATAGAGATATACGGAAAGTGAAAGGACTGCGAGATGCTTTTAAACTCACGTAAGTACAAAGTTTCTCGATACTGACAGCTAAACACGTACTTACAACTTGAACATATACTTACACGATTTATTATACGTATAAATACTTGTCTCATAATCTCATAGTCTCATAGTCTACATAGTCTCGTCATAAATTTCGTCTGTAAAATTTCAACCATTCTAGTTTTGAAAAATTATAACATTTAGTAATTATATAGTCTAATATATTTAGAAATTATATTTAGAATAATATAATAAAAATTTGTGTATAAGAAGTTTCTATAAGTAATTTTACTCTTGGTAAAAAAGGGCCGTACTTCCACTAGAGCTTACGACAAAGGAAGGATATAGCATACTGATGTCACGGCTTGTCGATATGGATCCATCGCATTACTTCTTTAATGAATCGACAAATGCTAATCTCATGGTGTACGAGGAATTTCTTTGGACTCGTGGATCAGTATTAGGAAATATCCTTGTCAATGATGCCACGGGTTTCACAATGGCACATGTATGGCGTACAAACTTAGCTTTAATAAAGAAATTCATATACTACATCCAAGATGCCTTGCCAATGCGTCTGAAGCAGATCCACATAATAAATACAACGCCAGTTATGAAAATAGTGTACAACGTAATGAAACCTTTCATAAGCGAGAAACTGCAAAGTCTGGTAAAATTATTTTAAATTTTAACAAATCATTCATTTTCGACAAAATTATTATTCTAGCGATCCGCTGCTACTTGTAGGAAGAGAAGGAAAGGAGCACGCGATATAACATATATAAGAAATTTAGGTCATAACGTTAGAAAAGATTGCAACAATATCAAACTGCATTACATACGTTTACGTATTAAAGTCTTCTAGAAATTCTGTTTAATAAAAAATATGTAATACTGAATAATATCTTTTTGCAGATACACTTTCACACGTCATTGGAAAGTGCAAAAACGTACTTTCCGATAGAAGC